CTCTACACCAACCATGTCACTATTAGTTGTGTTTTTACCGTCCTCTACACCCACCATGTCACTGTTAGTGGTGTTTTTACCGTCCTCTACACCAACCATTTCACTATTAGTGGTGTTTTTACCATCCTCTACACCCAACATGTCACTGTTAGTGGTGTTTTTACCATCCTCTACACCCACCATGTCACTATTAGTGGTGTTTTTACCATCCTCTACACCCAACATGTCACTATTAGTGGTGTTTTTACCATCCTCTACACCCACCATGTCACTATTAGTGGTGTTTTTACCATCCTCTACACCCACCATGTAACTATTAGTGGTGTTTTTACCATCCTCTACACCCACCATGTCACTGTTAGTGGTGTTTTTACCATCCTCTACACCCACCATGTAACTATTAGTGGTGTTTTTACCGTCCTCTTCACCCACCATGTCACTATTAGTGGTGTTTTTACCATCCTCTACACCCACCATGTCACTATTAGTGGTGTTTTTACCATCCTCTACACCCACCATGTCACTATTAGTGGTGTTTTTACCATCCTCTACACCCACCATGTCACTATTAGTGGTGTTTTTACCATCCTCTATACCCATCATGTCACTATTAGTGGTGTTTTTACCATCCTCTACACCCACCATGTCACTATTAGTTGTGTTTTTACCATCCTCTACACCCACCATGTCACTATTAGTGGTGTTTTTACCATCCTCTATACCCATCATGTCACTATTAGTGGTGTTTTTACCATCCTCTATACCCACCATGTCACTATTAGTGGTGTTTTTACCAACCTCTACACCCACCATGTCACTATTAGTGGTGTTTTTACCATCCTCTACACCCACCATGTCACTATTAGTGGTGTTTTTACCATCCTCTATACCCATCATGTCACTATTAGTGGTGTTTTTACCATCCTCTATACCCACCATGTCACTATTAGTGGTGTTTTTACCATCCTCTACACCCACCATGTCACTATTAGTGGTGTTTTTACCATCCTCTACACCCACCATGTCACTATTAGTGGTGTTTTTACCGTCCTCTACACCCACCATGTCACTATTAGTGGTGTTTTTACCATCCTCTACACCCACCATGTCACTAATAGTGGTGTTTTTACCATCCTCTACACCCGCCATGTCACTATTAGTGGTGTTTTTACCATCCTCTACACCCACCATGTCACTAATAGTGGTGTTTTTACCATCCTCTACACCCACCATGTCACTATTAGTGGTGTTTTTACCATCCTCTACACCCACCATGTCACTATTAGTGGTGTTTTTACCATCCTCTACACCCACCATGTCACTATTAGTGGTGTTTTTACCATCCTCTACACCCACCATATCACTATTAGTGGTATTTTTACCATCCTCTACACCCACCGTGTCACTATTAGTGGTGTTTTTACCATCCTCTACACCCACCATGTCACTATTAGTGGTGTTTTTACCGTCCTCTTCACCCGCCATGTCACTATTAGTGGTGTTTTTACCATCCTCTATACCCATCATGTCACTATTAGTGGTGTTTTTACCATCCTCTATACCCATCATGTCACTATTAGTGGTGTTTTTACCATCCTCTATACCCATCATGTCACTGTTAGTGGTGTTTTTACCATCCTCTATACCCATCATGTCACTATTAGTGGTGTTTTTACCATCCTCTATACCCATCATGTCACTGTTAGTGGTGTTTTTACCGTCCTCTTCACCCGCCATGTCACTATTAGTGGTGTTTTTACCATCCTCTATACCCATCATGTCACTATTAGTGGTGTTTTTACCATCCTCTACACCCACCATGTCACTATTAGTTGTGTTTTTACCATCCTCTACACCCACCATGTCACTATTAGTGGTGTTTTTACCATCCTCTATACCCATCATGTCACTATTAGTGGTGTTTTTACCATCCTCTATACCCACCATGTCACTGTTAGTGGTGTTTTTACCATCCTCTACACCCACCATGTCACTATTAATGGTGTTTTTACCATCCTCTTCACCCACCATGTCACTATTAGTGGTGTTTTTACCAACCTCTACACCCACCATGTCACTATTAGTGGTGTTTTTACCATCCTCTACACCCACCATGTCACTATTAGTGGTGTTTTTACCATCCTCTACACCCACCATGTCACTATTAGTGGTGTTTTTACCGTCCTCTACACCCACCATGTCACTAATAGTGGTGTTTTTACCATCCTCTACACCCGCCATGTCACTATTAGTGGTGTTTTTACCATCCTCTACACCCACCATGTCACTATTAGTGGTGTTTTTACCATCCTCTACACCCACCATGTCACTATTAGTGGTGTTTTTACCATCCTCTACACCCACCATATCACTATTAGTGGTATTTTTACCATCCTCTACACCCACCGTGTCACTATTAGTGGTGTTTTTACCATCCTCTACACCCACCATGTCACTATTAGTGGTGTTTTTACCGTCCTCTTCACCCGCCATGTCACTATTAGTGGTGTTTTTACCATCCTCTATACCCATCATGTCACTATTAGTGGTGTTTTTACCATCCTCTATACCCATCATGTCACTATTAGTGGTGTTTTTACCATCCTCTATACCCACCATGTCACTATTAGTGGTGTTTTTACCATCCTCTTCACCCACCATGTCACTATTAGTGGTGTTTTTACCAACCTCTACACCCACCATGTCACTATTAGTGGTGTTTTTACCGTCCTCTACACCCACCATGTCACTATTAGTGGTGTTTTTACCATCCTCTACACCCACCATGTCACTGTTAGTGGTGTTTTTACCATCCTCTACACCCGCCATGTCACTATTAGTGGTGTTTTTACCATCCTCTACACCCACCATGTCACTATTAGTGGTGTTTTTACCATCCTCTACACCCACCATGTCACTGTTAGTGGTGTTTTTACCGTCCTCTACACCCACCATGTCACTATTAGTGGTGTTTTTACCATCCTCTACACCCACCATGTCACTGTTAGTGGTGTTTTTACCATCCTCTACACCCACCATGTCACTATTAGTGGTGTTTTTACCATCCTCTACACCCACCATGTCACTATTAGAGGTGTTTTTACCATCCTCTACACCCACCATGTCACTATTAGTGGTGTTTTTACCATCCTCTACACCCACCATGTCACTATTAGTGGTGTTTTTACCGTCCTCTACACCCACCATGTCACTATTAGTGGTGTTTTTACCGTCCTCTACACCCAACATGTCACTATTAGTGGTGTTTTTACCGTCCTCTACACCCACCATGTCACTATTAGAGGTGTTTTTACCATCCTCTACACCCACCATGTCACTATTAGTGGTGTTTTTACCATCCTCTACACCCACCATGTCACTATTAGTGGTGTTTTTACCATCCTCTACACCCACCATGTCACTATTAGAGGTGTTTTTACCATCCTCTACACCCACCATGTCACTATTAGTGGTGTTTTTACCATCCTCTACACCCACCATGTCACTATTAGTGGTGTTTTTACCGTCCTCTACACCCACCATGTCACTATTAGTGGTGTTTTTACCGTCTTCTACACCCAACATGTCACTATTAGTGGTGTTTTTACCGTCCTCTACACCCACCATGTCACTATTAGTGGTGTTTTTACCGTCCTCTACACCCAACATGTCACTATTAGTGGTGTTTTTACCGTCTTCTACACCCAACATGTCACTATTAGTGGTGTTTTTACCGTCTTCTACACCCAACATGTCACTATTAGTGGTGTTTTCACCATCCTCTATACCCATCATGTCACTATTAGTGGTGTTTTCACCATCCTCTACACCATTAACAAGTGGGAGGCACATATGCAAACTGTTGTAATTCCTACACCGTTCACGTGGTTTGGATGTAATACCGTCACATGAAAGCTGACAGTCTGCAGTTTAAGCACATCTTGTTCGTTTCATTTTATGTCCATTGTGGTGTATAGAGGCAAAAATGTTAGCATTGTGTCGATGTCCCAATATTTATGGACCTGACTGTACGTCAGCGGGGACTATTGATAACGGCGGACTCACAGATGTTTGACCGCTGTGGAAGCATGACGGCCTCGGCCAGATATGTAGCTGTAGTTTTGTTACCAGCAGCCACCCTAGCACTTTAACCCATCTTAGACGAGCATTGTTTGGGTAAACACACAGACTTCCCCTTCCCACCAGCAAACGCCTCAAAAGTGAAGCAGCTGCAGTGTTTCTGTGGTCTCCCTCAGAGATCCACCAGTGACCAGCATGACTTGAGCCTCGCTTCAGAGCCGGTCCGTGTGAATAGGAACAGCCAGCCGACTGCTCTGTGTTCCTGGGCAGGAGACGGGAGAAGCTGGTCCTGATGCTGCCCACTAATGCGTTTGAATAAGCAGTTAAATGGCACCCCCACTCAACCAGCTAAGTAAAGTACAGAAATATCATTTGACTTACTGATGACAGACGCAGAAACCGCTGGAATGGTCTGCTGGTGCCGTCCGTAACCACAGCTTTGCCTCTGGGTCCAGCTAGTTCAGTGCTTGGCATCCCAACACGCAGACCCAACCACAGCTCAGTCCAAATGGCCGAACATCTGAGGCCTTTCCCCAGAGCCAGCTCTGAAGTCACATGGCTCTGATGCTCATTCTTCTATTTATTCATGGTTTATTATGTGCTGAACACGAGTGGGGTCCAATGAACCCTTGTATCTACAGTTAGAGGTTATATTGTTGTCCTGTCGCTGCTAAATGAACATTTTCATGCTGTTGGAAGTGATTTATTACAGCCGAGGGTTGACTGAGGTTAGTACGTCGTAGCCATAAACGCTGGGGCTCTAATTATTGACATGATTGTTTTCTGCTTTTTCAGCCTTGCTTCCCTCGTTTTTGGGTTTTGGTTTCAGCCAAGAATTTTCATTTGGGTGATCCCCTACTTTTTATTTCGTCTGTCGTCGTGGACACACCTAACAGTCCGTGTCTTGTATCTTCTTTCAGGACTACCGCTGGTGGTGGAGAACCTTCCTGGTGTCAGGAGGCTCTGCCTTCTACGTTCTTATTTACGCTGTCTTCTACTTTATCAACAAGGTAAAACACAAACTCCTGGTCGCTTCAATTCAGTTTATTTCTAAAGCTCCAAGTCGGGACCAGTCGTCTCAAGGACCTGCACACGGTAAACAACACAGGTCAGGTCATTAAGCCAGTCAGTAACAAGTTTCCTATTTAAGGAACCCAGCAGGTCGTATCGAGTCACTGACTAGTGTCAGAGTCTTTACAGCAATCCTCATACTAAGCAAGCATGCAGCGACAGTGGAGAGGAAAACTCCCTTTTAACAGGAAGCAACCTCCAGAGAATCCTGGCTCAGTATAAGCAGCCACACACACACACACACACGCACGCACGCACGCACACACACACAGCTCTGATGCTCATTAATTATTCCGAGTTTTAAGCATTAAATTCCACTGAAACAGAAGCTCCACCCCCGACCGGGTCGTCAGTAGGTCCAAACACAACACCGGGTCATGTGACTCAAACTAAGAGACTGGAGTGGGCAGTCCCAGAGTCTGACCACAGAGGGGAAGAAACTGTTCTTGTGGTCATGAATGGATCAGAACCTCCTGCCAGATGGGAGAGAATCAAAACGACCAGGGTGACACGGGTCAGCTGTTATCCGACCTGCATGGGGGGTTATCCGAGGTTTATTCCAGTTTAACCTCCACCTTCATACTGGGAACTCGTGGTCTCAGTGATCCTGTTTCTATCTGCTTTCTGCAGCTGGACATCGTGGAGTTCATCCCCTCCCTCCTGTACTTCGGTTACACCACGCTGATGGTTCTGACCTTCTGGCTGCTCACGGGAACCATCGGGTTCTACGCCGCCTACATGTTCATCAGAAAAATATACGCCGCGGTCAAGATCGACTGATGCTGCTGCCGCTCCCAGTTGTCCTGTTTCTTCTCACTTTTTTTTTTGAATCTGTATTTTTTACTCTCTTTTTGTGTCCCACAAGCACGGACTTGTGCAGCAGGAACGGACTTGTGCAGCAGGAACGGACTTGTGCAGCAGGAACGGACTTGTGCAGCAGGAACGGACTTGTGCAGCAGGAACGGACTTGTGCAGCAGGAACGGACTTGTGCAGCAGGAACGGACTTGTGCAGCAGGAACGGACTTGTGCAGCAGGAACGGACTTGTGCAGCAGGAACGGGGCTTGTGTGGAGGTGCAAGACCACCACCTTCTGGCCACATGCAGATTTTCACCTGCTGTTTCTCCCTCCGTCTTTTCCTTTCATCAGCTCGGAGACCGGGGGGGTCGGTCACCTGCTGGGACAGTTCTGGTCTTCTGCCCCCCCCCCCCCCACACACACACACACTCAGCGGGGCCAAGGCTTGTCAGACGGCTGTTTCTGCACATTTTCTCTCGTGTCTAACTGATGTAGCTGTTACTGCATCGTTCTGTGTGACTCTGTTTGGTTTGTGACCAGGAAGCCGTTTTCTTCTAACTTCCTGTTTCCGATGGTGTCTTCACTCTTGGTTTGGGTTCAGTCTTCACCGATGACCTTCTGTTGACCTGATGGAGATTATGCTGGGAACTTTTACATAGTACCCAAAAAGGATTCATGAATTTAGTTCGTTTTTTTATCATAGCTCCTGTGCCCTGATGTGACCCCCCCCCCCCCCCCCCCCCCCCCCCAACAGACTAAAATATTCTCCTCCAAACGTCCGTTTGCTCTAGCGGGACCGGATCTCGACCCAGTGGACACGATGAGAGACCTGCAGCTGGGCCAAGCCACCGCCTGCAGAACTCTGGAGGCTGAAAGGTTTCTGTGGGCTGGGTTGGGGTCTGGAACGTCTCCACGGCTGTTTGCACACATGAGCCCAGCGTGTGGACTCCTAGCATGCACCAGGCTTCTGCATGTGTGACGACGTCCTCCAACTGTCCCCACTTTCAGAGCTTTGCCCGCTTTTCCTTCAGGAACTTTACTGAATTGAATCCAGTTACTACGACTTGTGCCGTGCCCATTTTTGATGACTAGTGTAATCTTTAACACTTTTGATAAAAATCTTGAATGTATGAATGGTTTGTAGCTCTAAACAACCACAGTCTGGAAAACCCGTATAGCTAAGTAAGCTAGTGGCATTGGGGCAGTTTCTCCACACCGGCTGTTTAAAGGTGCGACATGAATGATAAAAGCCTAAACTCTGATCTGATTGGCTGATTCCCTAACGAACAGACCAGCCCTCAATGTGCTAAACTAGGCTAGCAGCTTTGAGAAGCGTGCTTTTATTTCGACGTTCATCTCTAGGGACCTGTCAGCAGGGTTTCAGAGCATTCACCTATGACAGCTGGCTTTGTCTGGTGTTTGCACATTAGCTGGAGCATTTGGGTCCAAACATCTCCATTATAAGCACTCGGACAAGCCCGGTCTGGTTCTGATAACTGGGTCGGTTCTAGGACGTTGTGGCGGTTGAGACTGACAGACAGAATGTTGGGTATCACGCTCCTGTTCGATGTAGGGTTTAAAGAAGTGCTTTACTGGATTTGTGGTGGGCAGCACCGAGGGAAGGGCCATCCAGCTGCTGCGGTCTGGAGAGGCCGGATCTGTGTACATTTGAGGTTTTCCATGTAAATAACCGAAACAGCTTTGTATTTGTTGCGTTTTGCTGTTTGTGGCGCGCTCTGTAATGATTCCTGTCATTGTCCTAGCCAAAAGCATGAAGCTCACGAGGACCTTCAGGGCAAGTTTTTCATCTTTTGTTTGACGGATGCTCTCCAGTTACCTGATGTACAAAGACAAAACAATAAAGTGATGAAGGTGTGTGTGTGTGTGTGTGTGCGTGCGTGCGCCCCTGTGTGTGTGTGTGCGCTGGTGGTGAACGCTAGGGTCAAGTCAGAAGTGAACATCAGAAATGTGTTGAGAGTTGTGCAGAAGATGTCTAAAAGCCTTCAGACAGCAGAGAGGTGTGGACAGGCTGACAGCTTATGTTAGACCGGCGTGTCCATGGACCATGATGTTTGCAGAGGACAGATCTGCAGTGTGCAGGTAGAGGTAACGCTAAAGAGGTGAAGACAGAATCCATGTGTGTACATGAGGGACACAGTTGGAATGATGTCACAAGGAGTAGAAGTAAAGAAGGTAGAGCACTTACAGTTCTTAGGGTCTTCTGTCCAAAGCAACAAGATGGAAATGCAGCACACCAAAAGGCCTAGGGTTTCATCGCACAGACTAGAAGTTAGTTAACTTTTGACCTGCAGGCACAAACTGTGTCTCGTCCTGACACATCTTAACTTTACTGGACTCCAAACCAGTAAACACACTGCTCTACGACCTTGTTGCCAAGAAGGGAAACCATAATAAACCCCTATCCTGAATCTCTTCACCTTAGCTGAAACCAAAGCAGCAGAAGACAAGACCTTCACTCTGAATAAAGTCCATCTACCTTGAATCATGAGTGACTACAACTTTATAGGTTGATGTAATCAAATGTGTTGAATGAACAAGATGTTAAAATCCAAAGGGTGTGAATGTGTGCATTGATCAATGATGGGTTAAAATGAATGTTTTCCTGCAATGATTCAGGTTTTAAAGTACACCAGATCAGTGTTTATTTAATAATTTCATCTCAATATATTCACACATGTACCATACCATACCATTTTATTTATAAAGCGCATTCAACATGGCATTACAACCAGACAAGGCGCTGTACATTAAAAGATTACAGTTAATTAACACGTTCAGAATGACATTTAAAGCATAGTTTATAAGAAAAAATGAAAACAAGAAAATACTCGAACTAACAGTCGTAAAACACTAAAAACAACAAAGGAATGTGAAACAACAGATAAAAACATATGAAAGAACCACAGTAATACAGATGTTAATTATTGTGCATTCTATTGTAGAAAGAATGCAGATGTCGAAAGTGGTCCATGACTATGTATTATATGCAAGGTTGAAGTAGTGAGTTTTCATGCGAGATTTAAAAATGCTAATTGTTGGTGCTTGCCTCACTAGTAGTGGTAATGCATTCCACAGCTTGGGAGCACAGACAGAGAAAGCCCTTTCTCCACGGCTTTTCAGACGTGCGTTTGGAAGAGCTAGGAGGAGCTTATCCTCAGACCTGAGAGCACGAGGCGGATTGTAGTAATGGACGAGTTGACACAGATATGGAGGAGCTTGACTGTTCAGGGATTTATAAGTGAGAAGCATGATTTTGAAATTGATCCTGAGATGAATGGGCAACCAGTGGAGAGATTTTAGAATTGGTGTAATGTGCTGTCTTCTGTCAACTCCAGTCAGGAACCTAGCTGCTGAATTCTGGACTAGCTGAAGTCTAGATTGAGCTGCTTTACTGATGCCGTATAAGCAGGAGTTGGAGTAATCCAGCCGTGAAGTGATGAAAGTGTGGACTACTGATTTGAGAAGACGGACACTCAGGATGTGCTTAAGTTTAGAGATACGCCTGAGGTGGTAAAAACATGATTTAACTGTGTTATTGACCTGAGCATCCATCTTCAGAGCCTGGTCTATTTTAACTCCAAGGTTGGAAATTACAGTGGAGACATTAGGTGAGAGATAGTTGAGGTCAGGTTGATGAGTAGCCGGGATGCTGTGAGGATTAAAAACGATTACTTCTGTTTTGGAGTCATTCAGATGGAGGAAGTTATCAGCAAGCCAAAGCTTAACATTATCGATACAATCAGACAGAACTTGCATTGATTGAGTTGGCTTGAATGAAAAGTAGATCTGACAGTCATCAGCGTAAAGATGGTATGAGACAGCGTGCCTTCTGAAAATGGCTCCTAAGGGCAGTATATAGAGGTTAAATAGTAACGGGCCGAGTATTGAACCTTGTGGGACACCCCAACGGAGTGGTTGTGACTCGGATGAACAGCCATCCAACATGACTCTAGCGGACCTGTTATAAAAGTATGACCTGAACCAATCTAGGGCTGAACCAGAAATGCCAGCCCAAGTCTGAAGTCTGGTGATCAAGATGTTATGATCGATCGTGTCAAATGCTGCTGATAGATCCAAAAGTAGCAGAACCACATGGAAACCTGAATCTAAAGCGAGAAAAATGTCATTAAACACCCGAACATGAGCAGTTTCAGTGCTGTGCTTAATAACATGTGGTTATTAATGTTTTAACACTCACTTCACACTAGGAGAAAACCTGTACGTATCTGAGTTAAGGTGTGATTTTCTGAGCTCTTTTGGTAATGCCTTTTAAACGTGTCAAATCCTAATTTGTCAAAAATTTATAAACATTTAATAAATACAGGGATCACTTCCTGATTCCTTATTTCTCCAGCTGTCTCCCGGCTATGCGGAACAGGGAGCATTTGGAAAAATTATTAGTGTTGAGTTGAAAACATACAAATTAGCTGCCCACCGTTTGAGCCGTTGAGTGTTTTCTTAACCCTTTGGTGCATAATGGTCAATACAGTGGACAGGTACTCAAAATTATTTATTTTTGCTATTAAGCCCAGCTGTTGAAGACTATTGCATTTGAGCCCCTCCATTTGGACTTCAGTTTGACAAGCCAACATATTTCGTGTTCAGAATGCACGCTGTCCACTGAGGAGGACATGTAATAAATTATTTGTAAATTAAATGTTACAAAAAATATGTAAATATGAAATTTGTTTCATTCACAGCTAAATATGAAGGAAAAAAATTAAGAAAATCATGGTTGAAGATTTCATAATTCATGCATCAAAGGGTTAATTATGTAGCCTGTCAGTCAAAATTCGGGCAAAATAGCTTTTCTTATAATTTACAAACATGACCCCCCCTCGCGCCGCCGAGTAATGGTACAGCCCAAAGGTGTGTTTAGCGTCACCGTGATGATGCTTTTATTTGACGCCTCGCGGCGCTGCAGAAGGGCTGATGAGGAGGAGACAACACGAATCTGGAGCGGAGGAAAGGAAACAGATGACGACCCTTGCTGGTAAGTTCGTCCTCGTTAGCTACCTGGGCAGCCTGCAGGTGAGCTAGCTTCTGCGTTGAGGCTTGTCAATATTCCGGTGCTACTAGCAGAGACTAGAGACGGCAGGTTACTGACATGCACACCTGAGTGGAGCTTTGGAGACGTGTCAGTCAGAAAATGAAATTATTGGATGAAGTGAGTCTTAAATTCAATTTTATTCAAAAGTCTTATGTTGTTGTTGGCTGTTTCCATGTCGCTTATCAACCGGTATGTTTTATAGTTCACAGTAACCTTGGTAATTAACTACACACTGCTAATTAAACAAGTATGTGTGCTATGTTCTGTATGCTTCAAGAAAGCTCTGACAAATTATCAGCCCTTTTTAGGTCATTTTTATCATTCTGTGCTGCACTGGCAGGGGTCAAATGTTAGTTTCTAACGGTCCTATAGTGTTAACAAAATGATGAATCATAAAATGTGTTAAATGTAAAACTTTGGACTGATATTTTAAAGGGGCATTATGGAAGTGTGACAGCCAAAACATGTATAGAAATAATAAATGTCTTCTTCATACGTTCTCCTGCAACGCCCTGGTCCTGTAGAATGAGCCCTGGCATTTTTACTGTGATTGCCTGTTTTTCTGTAAAATCACAGAAAAAGAGAGATGCTCGGGTCGAGCAGGCTGCTTCATGCGCGTTCACGCTCAGGCATCGCCCTCCAAACCGTTCTTAAGTGGTACAGAAGACCCGGGTTCGATTCTAGATGTGAACATAGTTTATTTAGTGTTTCTTTCTTACATTAATGGTATATTTTTTTAAAGTAAGATGCCCACATTTTATTTGAGACTCGCCGAACGGCATTGAATTCACAGATAAAAAAGATGTGGGTTCAACTTTCATTTTGGAAAAATTTTTCAAGCAAAGGAAGGGAATGATCTGAGCATGCAGGAGGACTGACCCATCATAAACCTTTGTCGGCTGTGCTGAAGAGAAAGGTACAGAACCACATTATTTAATTAATTAGCTGCACGTTCTCCTGTCCTCTGTCCTCTGGGAAACACACACACACGGAGCTGACTGTCTCAGCTGTTATTTTCGTTAAGAAGTGTGCACGTACAGCATGCGCGCCTCGTGCACGAGCCTACTATTGAAGCTGCCGTTACGCTTTTGGCCTGAGGGGGCAATCGCGAGCATAAAAATTCAAAACTCCGTAAAGTCCCTTTAATAACTGAAACAATCCTGTTGATGAATCAGTAAATGGTTAATATTTAGAATAATAGTGTGGAGGAGGAAGGACGACACAAAGGTACGTTTCATTCACTAGAAATCATTAGAAAATCCTGTGTTACTTTTATTTAACTTTTGCTAATCACATTTTTTTTACATCTCAAAAACATTCACAGGATCAATGCTTAAATATTTATGAGGAGTTCCGTGCAGCCAGGAGGGAGATTCTGGGAACCATTTTCAAACACTGATCAACAAGACCAGCATCCTGAAAGACTTCAGCAGCCACCTACTTCCACTTCAGCACACCATGTTGAACCCTCTAGTGGTGTTACGGACAACACACAGCAATTGTGTCAGAAGGTACTGTACACACACCTATCTTGGAAAGCCCTCCAGCAGGTAATGAGGAGGTGTTGAGGTTAGTTGGTAAATTTTGGAACCTACAGTTACTCTGTAATGCTGCTCTAAAGAAAGCTTTCTAGATTTCTTATATGGTATTTATATGTTGCTGCTGTTGGTGGTGTTATTGTTTTTGCCCTGAGCTACAAAGGATGTAGTATATCCTTTGTATTCCATTTGTTTATTTAATTCCAATTTTAAAATTAACGGCAAGAGTTTAAATACGTTTTTGGTGCATTTCTGTTGGGGGGGGGGGGGGGGGGGCAATCAAGCTTATGGCCTCCAAAAGCCTAGCAGCGGCCCTGAGGTCAAACCTTCTTTGCAAACCTGCATCAGATGCAAAATAGCTCCGCCAGCTTCCAGCAGTCACCCGGAAGGTATCTCAGACCAGACAGTTGTGTATTTGGAGTGGAACTACGTGCATCGAATACCACAGAACTCAACTCCACCGGCAGCCTGTCCGTACCAACTTTTACAGATGTGTTGATGTATTCAAAAACTCAAATACTTCCAATTCCAAAGAAAAAAGAAAAAATTCCACCCTCATCCACTAGGGGCTGGTGTCAGAAGCAACCAAATCCTCATTGACTCCCATGTTAAAAATACCAATTTCACAGCAGAAATAAACATGTTTACAGCCTGGTACCAGAACATGTTTTTGGTTTAAATGATCTAGTTTACACTCATGACAACTCTGAGGGGGTGAATGTTTTTCTCACTCTTCTGTTTAAGTGTATTAAAAGTCTAAAATTATGTATAATTAATGAGCATCAGACCCACGTGACCACAGAGCTAGCTCCGTAGAAAGGCCTCAGTAGAGCCTCGGTCTGGCCTGGAAACTGTTCCAGGATTTTGAGTCTCTGTGTGTGTGTATTCTTGTTTGGATATTATTTGTGCAATTGTTGGACAAAATGACTTGCTGTGGCATTAATTGCACTAATAAAGCGTCCAAGGAGTCTCCACCTCATTGTTTCGGTAAGTAAAATTATATTTATGTATTTTAGGTCACTGCCGAGCTGAGCTTAGATTTTAACATGTACTGTTTAACCATGAAATGTAAATGTAATAGGGTAAAACCCAGTGCATTTAACATAATGCTGCACTTTAGAAAATGGGTTGAAATATAACATGTTGGTGGAGCTGGGTTCCCACTATCGGCTTGTGGAGCTCTCGGAGACCTCTGTGTTCCACCCGGTTCTCCCCTCCCCGCAGCTCGGCGCATCTCTGATCGCCGCGGCTTCTGTCTGCTGCGTGGGCTGTTGGCTTGTGGAGCACTGGGATGGAAACCTTTCCACCCGGTTCTACCCAGCGGTCAGCCCGGCGTATCTCTGACTCAGAAGCTCTGGTGTTGTGTACAGTTAACTCCGGTTGTAGCTAGGTTGCTACCTCCGTTAGCTTAGCTCCCACCTCCGCATTAGCTTTGGGTTAGCTTCAGGTTAGCTTGTAGCTAGTTTGACCAGGTGTCGTCAGTTGATCCCAGCCTTACAGCCCCACCCTCAGCTCTACCTCTCTTCCCTTTTGTGGAATTGTCTGGGCTTGACGGAACCTGTGACACGGTCAAAATGGCGGTGGTGGCCACCTCCCATTTGGCCTCAAAAATGTGTTATTGGAGCCTATGGAAACCCATGGTCGATGGTTGGCACTCTGGTCATTTGGTTTTCCAGCCTTGTGGCACACGGCGCTACATAAGAGTATATTTTTAGCTTACTTTACTTCATTTATATCACAAACAGCTTGTAGCTGTAAACTAGTCTCCCCCATAAAAACAAGAATACAAAGAGGATATGAAACCACTGGTTTGTCTTTTAATAATTTCAACATAACACATGACAAGTCAAAGATACACGGTACTGTACAATAAGTCAATAGTTCTGTTGTTGTGTTCATCAACTCTTTGGATCAACCAATATCTGTCACTTAATAGTTGCAGCAACTGATTGCATGAGATATGCTTGGAAAAGAAACGAAAGAGCAAAACTTCCTCAGAATAATTCCTTAAACTCTGTGTCCTGTAGCCTGTTGTCGTTCAATTCGAAGGTGGCTATAGTAACACATAGTCCAAAATAAAAATGGGCTATTTCACTTAAACAAGATACACAAAGAGGATGGAATGCAAGACTCACATTCAGCTAGAAATACATAAACCTACATGTGGATGTTGTCTGCACCAGACAGTACCCAGTTTGTCTCTAAAGGGTGAGAAAGAGCATTAATAAAGTCAAATCAGCTTTTCTCAGGTTTAAAATGAGTATAATTCCCTTAAAATGTGTTTTTGCTGCACCTACTGGTAAAAAGGAAAAGGTGAGGATAAGTGCATCCCGAGTAGGTGCAGGTTGAGGTAATTGAGCTACAGCCAAGCTAAAGAGCAGAACAACATTCCGGTTAAAGGTCAGCGAGTCCAAGTTTACCCCAACAACAGCGACACTTTTCCACTCAAGACGTGAAATCGTTATGGAAAACAAAAGTAGCAGAACTAAAATTGTATTTCTTTTCAACGTTCGTTTAATCGGCCTCGACTTGTAGTAAAGAAAAGTGAGTTAGAAATAAGGAAGTTACAGTTCATTTTGACTGCCTGAAACAAGATGGGTTTTTTCCAGTGTAGTCGGACAAAATTATAACTCATTCAAATAAAAGCCCAACAGTTTGTTGCTTCCATAAAGAAAATCTTTTGTGTCATAACCATCAGAAATCAATTACCGATAAACTCTCCTCAGATTACTTTGATCTCTTTTTAAAATGTTTCACACAGGAGAAAGGCATGAGTCGTGAGCTGTGCTTTAAAAAAAAAAGAATAATAATCTGTTTTTAGATTAAAATGGGATTTAGCTTTAAATTTGGTTAAATATTCAATATATCAAATATTTCATTTGTTTTTTTCTTATTTCAAGAATTTCACTGATTTCCAAACCTCTCAACTTTTGAAAGTGTGTTGTGATTTTTCATTCAGTTCATATAAATTAACTACTTATATGAAAGAGTAGTTGTAATAAGTGTTCATAGTTGGAGTTACTGAACAGTCCCATCAATAATTTCACAAATTTATATACTTTTATCCTCTAATCATGTCATATCAGCGATAATCTTTGAATTGATTCAGATTTCTGTTAAGTAGCCTATACTCCTTCCTGGTATTTGACAATAACTTTAGAAACCACAGATTTAAATTAAAATGAAACTAAAAATCATCATCTATATTTTATTAGTGGAAAATTTAAACCACAATTTGGTTTGTTAACTAAATGTATGCACAGTTGGACAAATTAAGAGGAAGTTTTTTTTCTTGAGACTTTTATTTTATAAATTCTCCAAACTGCTTTTGTATTTTAACTGGTAATAAACCAAAACGTGTGGTTAAATGACAAAAAGGTTCTTTGCCCCCATTGTCCATGAAAAACCAGCTCCTTTCACTAAATATTATAACATGACCTCCACTGTTGTAATTAAAGCGTGTCGACATTTTTCTACGATGGCCTGGAAGGTTCAACTAAATACAAAAAGAATGCATTTACTAAAGTATAATAAAAATAGCATAAAGTGCATGTTGTGGTGCCCTGGAACTTAAGCAAAAAACAGAACTTTTGCTAATACCCCAAAAATGCATTTAAATGGGACAACAGTAACTCACACCACTGTAAAGCCCCGGAATACTGTTGTCTTACATAAACACAACTTCCACTTCATGCTCTTTTATTTAGTAATTGTTTAACCTCCATTTTATTAGTACTTCCATTTTGTTGTTGTGTTGCAGCTTTTGTAGTTCGTTGTCAGTCGGTTCACATTTAGTAAAGTAACACAGATTAATAGCCCCGATTGATATCCTATTATTCAGGTAGGAAACAGCAGTGGTTGAGTGCTTTTATGGTTTTATTTTTATTTTTTTTAGGGTCATATGGTGTAAAACCCGCCTGCACATGCCTCTGCTGCAGCAGGAGGTTGGCCGCTGACAACGGTCATGTTGTTGTTCTGTTCTAACACTTGGCTGTAGAGAGTGAGCAGGTAGCTGTTTGATAAAGTAAGCAAAGCTGATTAAGCAAAAATTAAATCGGAACAAAAAGAAATAGGGCAGGGGCTCTTATTTTGAAGGTTATTAGTGAAAAGTTTATCAAAAATACTGTTATTCTTTTGAAGAAGAGATATACACAAAAGTTGATAAAGTCTACAGATCAAACTAATGGCACATACATGTACGAGATCATACAGAATTAAAAACATGAACATAAAGGCTGAAACTTTAAAAGAAAAAAAAATACTCTTATTTTTTAAGGTTGAAAGTGCTAGAATTCAGATAAGCTCACAGAAACCCAGGGAGGACAAACGTTATGCACATCAAAAGCTGTCCATTATATTCATTATGTCAGGTTATTATTGTCATAACAATAAATGCTCAATTTTTGTCTCAAAACGAGGCCTTTTAAAAATGTTTGAGTCTATATCAAATTTGAATCAAGTTTTTGTTTCTTTTAGAAATTCAAAGGAAAGTGCCAACAGCTGGGCCTCATCGAGAAGATGAATTTCCTATGTAATGTGTTCTAGTGAGTATTAATTTAGTTTTAAATTCATGTAGAAATTGTACAAATTTTAGCACAATTTTAACAATTCTTACTCTTAACATCTGAAAAATATTCAATTCTCCAATGCACAAGGCTATTAGCTGCCCATTTTCTTTTCCTATGGTAAAAATGTAGTTTCTTCTCCCGAGGTTTTGGTAAGAAAACAAAAAAAATAAAATAAAATGAGGTGATGTGTTGTGTTGTTTTTTCAAGGTCCTGTTTTATATAAACAGAAAATAATATATCATATAACAACAAACAAAACGCATGACAATAAGCCATGCCCCGAGTCATGCAGTCAGTCACGTGTCCCCATCATGCTGCTTTGAATGTCAAAGCTTGAAGGTTCAATGACAGCATTCACTCGGAGCTCGCCGGGTTTTCACAACCTTTTCCTTTCGATGTATGAAGCAGCTAAAAGAGGAATAGGAGGAGTAACGAGGGTGGTGGGCAGATGAATACCTAATTGATCTGATTTGTGCATGTCTTCAGTTCACGGTCTATCCTAGTGAAGAAAATCATATCTGAAATGGTATAGTGGTCTACGGTTGTTGTAAATCAGCAACTGGCTAAAAGCAGCAATTTTTCATATAGCTTTATGTGCTATGGTTTTGTTTTTATTGATTTTTTTCAGCTTTTCTGACTGAATGGTGGGTAGAGCTCCCCGATGCACGGTAACTGCTACAAAAAATAAAGTGAGCTAGTGTAAGATTTACAAACAAAATGAACTTGTGAGCTCTAAATTTCTCTGTTGCTTATGCAACAAACAGAACACAAATGCTAGATTAATTTAAATCTGATGTACTTCTCAATAATGTGGTCATCAAGCTTTTACGGTAAATGAAAAAACTTGTCTATGGTTAGTTAAATCTCCGTACGGTGATGGAAAAGCTTCGTCTATGGTTAGTTAAATCTCCGTACGGTGATGGAAAAGCTTCGTCTATGGTTAGTTAAATCTCCGTACGGTGATGGAAAAGCTTCGTCTATGGTTAGTTAAATCTCCGTACGGTGATGGAAAAGCTTCGTCTATGGTTAGTTAAATCTCCGTACGGTGATGGAAAAGCTTCGGCTATGGTTAGTTAAATCTCCGTTCTGTAAATGAAAGCATGGTCTATGGTTAGTTAAATCTAGGTTAGGGTTGGGTTAAGGTATAGTAATTGGAAAGCTTTGGATGGTAAGATAAAGTTCAAGTGGAAACCTGCGTATGATCAGTAAAAGGTTTAATATAGAAAGCCAAACCTCAGTGTGGGGAGTAAAGAAAATTTGTGCCGTAGATAAATTGTACATAAAAGTACCAGAAAATTTTAATGTAGCTAAAACATTTGAATGTTAACTAAAAATACTGTTACAATACGAAAAAAACTCAAGTTCTACTTTGATAACAGGGCTAGGGTTACTGATAAAATGGTAGAAAACAATTATACATTCACCTCACAGGGAGTTAAAAACCTGTCTTCAATTTTCGATGTTTGGGTTAGAAGAGCAGAACAGTGAAGGAGAGGGGAAAGCTAGCACCAAGCCACAGTGACCACATTGCTAGGGAAATACGGCAGATTTAAATAATTCTGAATTAACTTCTAAGGAAGGGAGCACCTACAGAATTTTGAGGCATAAGGTTAACTTTGGGCTTCGTGTTTTTAAAAATAGGCTGTTGTGAAAGGTTAGAACTCCCAAGATCTATGGTCTGAAAAATGAATAGGCCGTCTTATGTCAGCATTCCTAAAACACAACCTACCGCTAGCTCAAATCCCAATGGATCACTATTCACTAACGGACTTCTACAAATATTTCCCATACCGTTCTGATTCTGCTAAACTAACTCAAGTTCACGTGAAGGTCAAAATGACAGAAGGCTCAAGGGTAAAAAGCTAATACTTCATCCTGTTCTATGTCAAAGAAATAAAATTAAATGCAAGATACACACAAATGTAAACCTGCCAGACATCAAACACATTATCACTTAGTTTTAATGTATCTACTTAAAATACACCTTTATTGAGATAAGCAATATTCACTTATGAGATATTTCGTACACTGCAATAACATTCTTAAACATATTTTTACTCATCTGTCGCTGTAATTTCTCTGCCTTTTTTTTTTCAGCCATTCACATATCTCAGGGTTCATCATTACGATGACGATGCATCTTTTAAAAAGTCTGCCTAAAGATGAGTTTGGAGTATATATATTTAAAAAATACAGGCATATATATATATATATATATATATATATATATATATATATATATATATATATATATATATATATATATATATATATATATGCTGGGCTGGGCTGCTTGGAAAAAGCTGCAGTTTATCGTGACTATGGGAACTTTTGATGGTAATGCTTAGAAAGAAGACAGGTGAACAAAAGAAAGAGTCAACATTCTATTCTGGCGAGAACATCTCCTTCTCAGGCAGTAAAAGCTCCAGAAGTACGAAGCCCGGTTAGTGCAAGGCACGCAAATAAAAAATCTAGAGGTTGGAAAATTATATCGGTTTTTTTTTTTCGGATTCTGTTTTGTAAACCACATACACAGATTTACAATCCATGCACCCGGTTAGGTAAAATAACAGAAAAGATTTTCACAACGCTCTTTTTTTGTTTTAGCAGGCACAAGCCGAGTTCTGTACAAGTGTGAGGGAGGAGATAAAAAGTGAAGTGCCTTCCACAAAGAAATTTCTTTTTAAAAGTGCTTCTCTTGAGGAACAGAAAAAGAAGAAATAAATCACAACTATTTTCTCTTTTTTTGCTTTGCTGAAGCAAGTAATTAATCCGTAATAATCTGTAAAACCTTCTGCTAATTTACTTAACCATTGAACAGCACTTTTTGGGGGCCTGAGGTTGTGTTGTGGCTGTGGCTAAGCCATCGCATGAATCATCTGTAATTCCTTGTCCCCTTGCTAATCTCTCTCCATTTTTACTCTTGACATTCCAGGTAATCAGCATTGGTGGTTTTAAACTCAAATACACGTTCTACCATGTTCTTATATTTGGAAAAGAAAAGAAAAAAATCACCCACTTCAAACTATATTTTTCTGGCTCACAACAAGGCAGATAAGCTCTACTAAAATTGATCTTTTTTTGTTTTATATTATTAATTTAGAAAGCCTGCAGTACCGTGCCTTTTTGGCCTACTGATGCTGCTCTCTACACTACTAAAGAGGGGGTTTGAAGGAAGATAAAAAAGAAGGTAAATTAAAAATTTAAAAGGGTTAATACATCGTTATATCTATAATATATGGGAGAAAAAAGCCCAAATAAAAGCTGCTTCAACTTCTCATTTCCTTTTTTGCTCAAAGGGGTTTAATTTCCTTTTAAGGCTCAATCAAAAGCTTTTGTGCGCACTTTCATTTAAGGCTTCAGCGTGTTCATTTAGGGATTTATTTTTGTTTCAAATCCTCCAAATTTGTTAATCAGGCCTTGGCCAAAATGTCTAAGCTGAGCTTGGGCTAGCGTGGAGGCCATTTTGGCTGGGCAGCAGCTGCCCATCACTGGAAGGCCTGGTGGAAACGAGGCAGTGTGGTGGTACTAAGGCTGGAGCTGAACACTGGTGGAAGGGGGTGCAAGGATCCAAGACCCAGACCCCCGCTGGAGCTCTGCTGCTCCTGAGGTTGAGGTTGCAAAGAGGTAAGAGGTGCTGTGGCAATGGCAGCTGCTGCGGCTGCAACTGCTGCAGCATGGGGCTCTGTCGCATGCAGAGATGAGGAGGAAGTAGAGGAGGAGGTTGCGGATGAGGTGTAGCCCATTACTAGTCCTCCTGTGCTCATGGGAGCACTATAGGGAGGAAGGTTTAGGGGCAGGAAACCCAGCAGGTGGGAAAAGTCCATGTTAGCAGCACACAGAGACTCCGTGATCACCGCAGGGCTCTTGGACAGAAGTGAATCCCCACAGAGTTCATCTGCCAGCCCTGAGGCGGGCTCCAGTCCATCCTTGGGGGGTGAGGCAGCAGCATGAGGCTCTGCAGAAGGAACTGGGCCTGGCAAGCCACTTTGCAGATCCATTAGGAAACTCTCCATTTCCACTTTCAAGGGCTTATCCAGCAGGTATGAGGTAGATCCCAGCTGGTATTTGGGCGCTGGCTGGGGTTGGTGCTGCTGCTGGGGAGCCACAGGCTGGTGGTGTGAGGGGGGTGGAGGGGAATGGTGGTGGTGATGGTGGTGATGATGGTGGTGGTGGAGGGAGTGTGGGTGAGTAGAGGCAGGGGAATCCATGTGACAGCCCATTCCCATAGCTGCAGACAAGGAACTGGGCATCAGGGAAGGGTGTGGGTGACCCACCCCTGAATTGGACATGGCCTGGAGATTGTGAGGGTTGTACATGTTCATTGGGAAAGGTGCCCCACTGGAGAATTGTTTGCTCATGAAAGGGTCTTTATTTGGCCCCATGCTGCACATCATGGGGCTGAGCTCCTCCTTGATGGAGCATGTCGGAGATCCTGTTGCTAAAAGACCTAACATATCCGGAGGCTCTGTCTTGATCTTCAGCAGCTCCTGTGAGTGGCTCTTCTTCACATGACGTGTTAGATGGTCCTTCCTGCCAAAGCGCTGGGCACAGTACTGGCACAGAAAGTCCTTCCGCCCTGTGTGGACCACCATGTGTCGTCTCACATCTTTACGAGTGTAGAAACGTCGATCACAGTGGTCGCAAGGATGCTTTTTCTCCTTGGCGCCGCCTGAGGACTTTCCCGAGTGGCTCTTGAGGTGCTCCAGGAGAACAGGCGTGCTCTCGTAGCTCTGCATGCACACTTTACAAGTTAAATCCCCTGCAGTTGCAGAGTGCATGGCCACATGACGCTTGTATCCCAGCTTGGTGTTGTAGTGCTTCCCACACTCCTCACACTTGAAGGCCTCTTTGTTGGGGTCATGGGTTTGCAGGTGGTTTTTCAGGTGGTCTTTGCGGTGGAACATTTTCTCACAGAACGAGCACTGATGGGTCTTCTGTGGAGAATGTGTGGCCATATGCCTGTAAAGACCAGGACAAAGCAAATTTAGATGATGCTAAAGAAATGATTTTGGTCAGAAAGTGAGCCCGAGATTAACCTTTACAATCAGTTCCTGAACTCTACCTGGATAAACACCTGATCAAGTTGATAAATAAAAAACTTTGTCTTTTAAATTAGCATTTTGTCACCACTGAATTTTAAAGTTAAAAAGTTAAAGTCCCATTAGTTGTCGCACACACACCTGTGTGTGCGAAATTTATTGTCCGCATTTGACCCATCCCCTGGGGGAGCGGTGAGCTGCAGACAAGCCGCGCTCGGGAACTATTTGGTGGTTTAACCCCCCAATCCAACTCCTATGCTGAGTGTCAAGCAGGGAGGCATTGGGTCCCATTTTTTCAAAGTCTTTGGTATGACCCGACCAGGAACCGAACCCCTGATCTCCCAGTCTCAGGGCGGACACTCTACGGGGTTTTCATTAGAATCATTAAAAATGTTGCGGTGGTGGCAGACCCTGCAATCTGAGGGCAACCTGCTGGCTTGGTTATCAGCTGTAAGTCGCTTTGGACAAAAGCTAAATACACAAACATAAACTTTGATGTTTTGGAAACATCAGCAGCAGCAACGAAATGTGTAAATACTGATGAGACTACAACCTGAGAACCAGGAGAGCTGGAGAACTCAAATGAGCATAAATGTTTAATAGATGCAGATAAGAGAAACACCTTATGTGTCTTCGTCAGAGTATCACAGTTGGAAAATATACTCATGAGTGCTCCAGCTCTCCTGGATCTCATTCTGAGTGTCCTCCAGCTGTAGAGCATCAGCCTGAGTAGATGACACGCAGAGTTCACAGTATGAGTCTCAAACACACCGATGTACCGAGAACATCTGAAGCTTATAAAATCATTTAGTATCTGTTCTCTGTTTGCTTCATCATACAAGCTGTTGCTGCTGCCTCTTGGCCAGATCGCCGTCGTAAATGAGGACGAGTTCTCAATCTACTCATCTGGTTAAAATAAGGTTAAATAAAATAAATCCAAGCTTCTTATGGTTTGCTGTACACATGTATGTTTGAGACTCTTGTTTTGAAGGACTAAGAAGTTTTGAGTTGGTGTGTGAACGCTGATGATGCGAACACCACGAGCCTCTCCAGTCGACCCATGGGTCCCTGAACGGGGCTAAAAGAGCTATTTTCTAACCCACTTTGCCTTAAGCCCTGGATCACACACATGTTGTACTTCAGTTTAAATGAAAAGGAGTCAAGTGTGTTTCGACCATGCCAGTCACGTATTTTGAGATTTATCAGTTTATAAAAGTTTGTGATTAGCATGACTAGAAATCAGACATCGGTACGTCACCACAGAATCTCCTCCCCCCTAGCGTAGCTGCTACTCACAACCTGACCACATTTATGGTGGTTCTTTCGTCCTGAAGGAAGGATTTGAAGTTCCCTGAACTTACAGCCATTTTCTCTCTGATTTTCTCCGTGTCTGGTTCAATGACGTCATTTTGGTGATGTGCATTTGTAGTCCTGGACTTACATTTTCACACAGAACCTACAATTAATTTAGTCCCAGTTTGAAAATAAGCGCGTTCTTGATATCTTTAAAATTCACAGACATCATATGTGAAATCCATGGCACTTAAATGGGATTAGGAAATGGTGTTTTAGCCCCGTTGACTTGCCTTTATTTTTGCTGGGGGACCCATGGTCTGGCTGTAGATGGGCGGGACTTATAGGCTCCCTATAGATAACAGAACCAAGATTGTATCGGTTACTTTTCTCATTAGTTACTGATGACTTTTGAAAATAGCATGTTGACTATTTTTCTCAGTGTTATATGATTTTATTAGTTTTTCTTCTGACATGACTGTTAATACGTTGACAGTGAGATAACTTTATTTGTATAGCGCCTCTACACAGAGTGCTGAACAGAACTGGGGCGTTGTGGCTGTCTAGTTCCAACGCCAGACGCTTTGTTTGATGTCTAGTTGGTACATTTATCGGCCATTGTAGTGAGCGGTCTGTAGACGTAGACTGGCGTGATGAATACCTGAAGAGTTTGTACTTGGAGCTGAAAGCCTTAGGACAGTGTGGGTGGGAGCAGTGAAAAGGTTTGTCTCCTGTGTGACTCGAGGTGTGAAGCCGAAGCTTCTCCTGTGAGGCAAAAAGAACCCCACACACCAGACACTCGTTCCTGCTCACTCCTCCTACTTCCTCTTCCCTCTCTCTCTCTGTCCGTGGCAGCAGGGCGGCGCTCCCTAACAGCTTGGCGGCAGTGCGTCGTCCCTCTTCCTCCGGTGTCAGTGCGGTAATACAGTGTGAGGCATCGGCGGCATCAGCTGCCATGGCAGCCCTAGAGTGCCGGTGCCATGAAAACCCACTCGTGGCTCCCCTGCCTTGCAGGCTCAAAAGTGGGAAGCTGCACTCGTAGGTATTCAGAAAAAAAGGCAATCAAATGCTGCGATTTTCCAGGAGAAACATGGAGGTGACACTAATTCTGAGGAGAGATAAAACAGTTAGTCGAACTAAGACCAACATTCATTCACTCATTCATTCCACATACATTATGTGTATAGCTGCTGGTGTCACCTTTAGAAGTGGTTACCTGTTTGGTAAAATCTGTCTGCCTTGTCCCTCGTCACCCTGTCCCAACAGCTATGGTTGGTGATGAGTGAGAACTTTTGTTCTGCATCTCCATTGTTCTGGAAGAAATCACAAAAAATAGTTTGTGTATCAAAAACTACAACAGAACACCAGCTGCTTTCCAGAACCTCCGTTTCTGCCCTGCATGACATCTCAGATTGTGTCTAAATGATAACTACCCACACCGTTCTGAGTCACAGCACTCCAAAGTGCTTTACACCAGTGATTCCCAACCAGGGGTCCGCGTACCCCTAGTGGTCTGTGAGAGCATTACGGGGGCATGTGGAAACATTTATATTTCATTACCCAGATGATGACAGCTGGTAAAAAAACAACACATTGGGCTGGGATGTATTGTGCTTAATGAATTAGCAGATAAAGTAATGCACAGTAAAATATGGTTGATATCATCAATTTAGGCCAACCCCGACTGCATGATTTTTTTTCAAGCTGCGTCAGAAAAGTAACGTTGGTTAACCCTAATTCCCTTACATGCCGCTCTTTTAAACACGCAGACTTCCAAAATGTCGGACATCAGTGATTTAGTTTGAACTCATTTCCATCCGCAGCTGTTTCTCCCATTAGTAACACTCGAGGTTGTGCAGCTTCTCACCGCAGGTCTGACCTCTAACCCCAGACCTGCTGATCAAAACGTCGTTCAACCAGAAGCAGAGAGAAAGAATAAACCTCCAACTTATTTATTAATGTGGACAAAAAACCTTTTAGGGATGCTTCTTTCCCATCAACCACAAAACCAGTTCCACCTGTCAACCTGAATTACACATTTGCTGTTTCAGTATTGATCATGTGCAACACCACTTAGATGTGCTATTTGTGTTTACTCAACATGCTAGAAATAATTAATAAATAATCTGCTTATAATAGTGACCTGCACGAACCCAACTAATGCTGCTACTCTGTGTATGTATGTAATGCACCCTGGGGTTTTTATCAATAGGTGCATTTAAGGAAACACCATACCTGTCTGAGCTCTGGCCTCCTCAGCACCAAAGACACATCCACCTCCTGCACCTTCCCTGCACCACAGAGAAAGGCCTGCTGCAAGCAGCACCAGCTGCAGCTCGTCTACAATCAATCAATCAATCAATCAATCAATCAATCAATCAAATTTTATTTCTAAAGCGCTTTTCAAACAAAGTGTTATTCAAAGTGCTTTACAAAATGACCCCAGATTCCCATAACAGGTTAAAAAACATTAACAAACATATGCAATCACACGCACACACACACAGACTCACACACACACACGAGTAAAAATTATATTTGGCTGAGTCCAGATGAGCCAAGTATGGTAACGCAAGGAAACGCCATCAGAGGAGCCGTCTGCCCCGGCAGCATCAGGTCTTCCACACTAAGTCAGGGCGCTCAGTGGAGGGGGAGCATAGACCCCCACCAATAGAGCGCCCAGGAAGCTACAGTCGACCACCGCTCCCCGGGCAGAGGGCCCCCACAGAGGAAACACTGGATTAAAATGAGTAAAAATATAATAAAAGAGCTAATATAAATGACAACAATTAGAAAATAAGTAATAAATAAAATCATAGACAGTAAAATAATAATTTAAATAATAAAACTGTGCTAAAATATAATCATGTAGAACATGCAAAGCAAGTAATAAAATATAATCATGTAAAACGAGAAATAAAACTGTAGTAAATATTTAGATAAAAGCTAACCTAAAAAGATGAGTCTTGAGTCTTGACTTAAAAACATGAACGTTCTCTGCGGCCCTGAGGTCCTCTGGCAGCTCGTTCCAGAGGCGAGGGCCATAACACTGGAAGGACGCCTCGCCGTGAGTTTGTGTCCTGACTTTAGGGATGACCAGGAGACGCCTGCCAGAGGAGCGCAGAGTCCGCGAGGGTTCATATTGTAAAAGCAGTTCTGATAGATAAGAAGGCCCAAGACCATTAAGACACTTAAAAACCATTAGAAGAACCTTAAAATTCATCCTGAAACATACGGGGAGCCAATGCAATGATTCTAAAACTGGTGTCATGTGCTCCCGCCTCCTGGTCATCATCAGGACACGTGCTGCCGAATTTTGTAAAATTTGTAAGCCTGAGATGCTCTTTTTGGGAAGACCAGAAAGCAGGGCATTGCAGTAGTCTATCCTACTGGTGATAAAAGCATGCATCAACGTCTCCGTATTGGCCCGGGAGAGAATGGGGCGGACTCTGGTGATGTTCTTTAGATGATAAAAACCTATTTTTGTGATATTTTTAATGTGTGGGATAAAAGTCAGCTCAGAGTCAAAAATCACACCCAGGTTCTTCACTTGTTCAGATGGATTAAAAGACAGAGATTGTAATTTCGGTAAAAGCTTCTCTCGCTGGGCCTCAGGACCAATGACTAAAACTTCAGTTTTGTCCTGGTTGAGCTGGAGAAAGTTCTCTGCCATCCAGGATTCGATGTCTAAAATACAGTTAAAAAGTGCTTCCATTGACCGAGAGTCATCCGGAGACACGGAGATGTACAACTGTGTATCATCAGCATAACTGTGAAAGTTGACCCCGTGTCTCCTGATGACACTGCCAAGAGGGAGCATATAAAGATTAAAAAGCACTGGGCCTAAAATTGAACCCTGGGGCACACCATATGTAATCCCATGGACCAGGGACGAAATTTTGATTTCAGAAGTGGGGGGGACACAGTAGGCTTGTGCGGATTTGGGGTGGGGGGTGTTATGTAAAGACCCCTTGACACGTCATGTGCCCATCTCAATAATTTTTCCATCCTCTATATATATCTATATATATATATATATATATGTATATATATATACATATATATATATATATATATATATATCAAAGTAAAAAAATTGTACAACTCTATTATTATTATTATTTATTGTCATTATTGAAGTGCAGTTTTGGCTGTTGACAATGGACAGGCTATTGTATTTATTGTTTTGGGTCTTTTTTTATTGTTTTTGGTGCAACATTTTCTAACAGGGAGTGAGATTCCTTTTTTATTAAATTTTTGTTTGTTATTTTTATTCATTTAGAAGTTCTGGTTCTGGACATTTCAATGTTAAATGAAGGTTTATTTGTTGCATTTTAAAGGGTGTACTTGCATTATTATGATATATTAACATTATATTAGTGGTTATTTTGGTCTAGATAATGTTGACAATGATATCGTTTATCATCAACAATTTGTTGGACAAAATATCGTCCAGCAAAATGTGTTACTTTCCCAGGCCTAGTCAAAAGTATAAAAATTATTTATACATAAACGGTCCCTCCTGAGATCTGGCTGTTTGTTCATTTGCTGTGTTAGAGGACAAGCTGAACTAATGTTTTACACATGATCATCACCCTAACATTTGAGTGTATAAAAACATATTAAATATGTTTTTTCCCTTAAAAGTGTTTAAACAGTTGTTGCATTTCAACACACAAAAAATTAATGGAAAAAATAAGATAAATCTAATGAAAAGTGTACATCTTTGACATTAAGCTTAAAAAATCTGTTGACGATGATGATACTGTTCATTTTTCAGAGCTTTTTAATGTGAACATATACATTGCAATAGATAAGTTTACAATAAAGTTAGATGATAAAAGTTTTGAAGTTACACTTCTACTACTACTAGTAATAATAATTATGATGATAATAGTAATAATAAAAAAAATAATTATAATACGAATAAATTGTGTCTGAGGAGTCAGTTATGTGGAGGAGATGAGTTTGTAAAAGTTAGTTTTGAGTATGTGTGTGAAGGAGGAGGTGAGTGAGCTTAATGCAGGTCTGTCACATGTCCAACTTACGTTTTGACTTTGAAAGAAGTCTCTTATATCCACTTTTCGTTTTCTTGACATGCTGCCTCCTGGCTGTGCCTAACTACCAAAGACTCACAAATGAACACTTATTCAAATGTTATGTAATGGAAGCTGAGCTGAGCTCTGATATTACACAGCGTCTAGTTGACGATGTGACTCAGTACCGGTGTTCCCTAGCGGCTCCAAACTAGCAAAACAACGTGAGCACGTTCTGACTGTTTCCAACTTGAGTGACAGCAGCAACAGCCAATAATACGTTAGCAAGTATCAGCAGAGCCAATAGATTAGCTTTTGGGCGGGTCTAATAGGAAACCGGTTTCCGTTTCGGTCCTAGTGCTCAACCAAATCCATTTAATGGAGCGTAACATTGTTTTTGGACGGAAAAAAGTGCAGGGGACCAAAACTGCCTTTTGAAAAAGTGGGGGGGACATGTCCCACCCGTCCCCCCCCAAAATTACGTCCCAGCCATGGACCCTAGAGGAACAGGTATCCAAACTCACCATGAAAGTCCTGTCTGTGAGGTAGGATGTGAACATCTATGTACAGCACCAGAGAGGCCAATCTGTTGTAAACGAGTTAAAAGAATAGTGTGGTCTACTGTATCGAAGGCAGCACTTAGATCCAGTAGAACCAACACTGTCAACTTCTGTTTATCATAATTTACTCTAAAATCATTTAAAATCTTCAGAAGGGCTGTCTCGGTGCTGTGGTTCACCCTAAAATCAGCACTGGTGGCTTCTTCAGGAGCTTTCCAAACATTCAGGAGAGCTCAGTGTGGTTCTCCCAAGCTTTGTAGACTTGGGTTTTGGTGTGCTCAAGATGCCCAAATTTTTATTTCAGACTCGCCGAACGGCATTGAATTCACAGATAAAAAAGATGTGGGTTCAACTTTCATTTTGGAACAATTTTTCAAGCAAGGGAAGGGAATGATCTGAGCATGCAGGAGGACTGGCCCATCTTAAACCTTTGTCGGCTGTGCTGAAGAGAAAGGTACAGAACCAAATTATTTAGCTGCGCGTTCTCCTGTCCCCCCCCCCCCCCCCCCCCCCACACACACACACACACACGGGACCGTCTCAGCTGTTGTTTTCATTAAGGAGTGTGCACGTACAGCATGCGCGCCTCGTGCACGAGCCTACCATTGAAGCTGCCGTTACGCTTTTGGCCTGAGGGGGCAATCGTGAGCATAAAAATTCAAAACTCCGTAAAGTCCCTTTAAGGTCAGCTGGTCATCAGTCACAACACCAAGTTTC